ATATATGTACTGGTCATTATCTCCTTATTAGCCGGAAGAACCGGAACATCCGTAAAAATGACAAAATGTGTGTTGAATTTTTACTGAATCTATATGGAATGCAGTAAAATTATGATTTTTGGTCTACCTGCTTGTCATTGGCACTGAGTGTTCATCAGATGGCCCATCGAGAGATCCGAAACAGCCGTAAACAATATTATGATGATTTTTTGATCCAAGTATTGCGTTGTTTTTTATCTGAAAGTTTATGGAGAGCAGTAAAATTTAGGTTTTTCATATATTTACTGGTCATTGGCTCTGAGTGGTCTCCAGATGGCCTTCTTGAATATCCAGAACTTCCGTAAAATTGATTGCGTCGAATTTTGGATCAAATTGTGCCTTGTTTTTATCTGAAACTGTATGGCATGCAGTAAATTGGTGATTTTGAATGTATAAGCTAGTCATAGGCTCTAAGTGGTTACCGAAAGGTCCTCAGGAAGTGCCGGAACATCTATAATATTGATCGCGTAGAAAAATGTTTCAAAGCATGCGTTGATTTCTTTCTTAAAACTGTTTGGAATATAGTAAAATGGTGACTTTCGTGGTCAATGGCTCTGAGTAGTCACCACATTGTGCCAGGAAGATCCAGAACATCTGTATAACATTTTGTTTAAAATTTTTGATCAAAGTATGCGTTGATTTTTATCTGAGGCTATATGAAATGCAGGAAAATGATGATTTTTTATGTATAAACATATGGCTCAACCAAAACCGAAAATATGATAGTGTCGAATTTTGGATCAAAGTATTCCTTGATTTATATATATTATTATGGGGGATGTAAGATTTGTTTACAATTATGTGGAATTCATCATCGCAGGATGTTAATGGAAACTGCATCGTAGGATGAGATATGCCGAGCTGCGGTCCAATGCGAGAAAATTGGAGACTGAAGAATGTAGAGGCCTGCCTAACCTTTCAAGACTTGCTTTTTTAAATGGCTGTATCTATTTTCGATGATCATGTTGCAAGCTGAATTTTGTTTCTTTCTCATTCATGATGTGCTGAAATTCATAATAATGAATAAAATTGGACTAGAATGACACCATTGCTGATATCCAGAGACCACGTCCAGCCCACGGGTCGCACGTTGGGCAGCACGGATGTAGAGTGTATGAGTTAGAGAAATTAATTATGACGAAAAAAAAAGTGTGCCGGCTGGACTCGAACCACGAACGTTGCGACTATCAGACCTGTACTTTAACCAAGGTTTTGTCCATGCTTCGGAACATGCATAGGCTAAAAGTGAATAAGAAGCGCTTATAGTTCGATAATTTGATTTTGCATGCTTTTTCTGCTGAACAGAAAATGAAAAGAATCGAAGCAAGTGTGGACGTTGTTCTACAATGGTATACAGAAAAAGATTGGTGATATGGTCGAAAGCATAAACAGAGCACGAAATAAAAACAGATAAAAAATCATTGCATCGCCTGTATGGCCAACTTATATCATTCTCTGCGGTATTCGCTGCAGAGGATGATACGAAAGGCAAATAACAATGAATGTAACACATTTTTGGTTTGCTACCTACGCGCGATTTTTAATATTCCAAATGGTCATTGACTCCGAGTAGTTATCAGATAGTCCACCGAAATATCTGGAACATCCGTGAAAATGATTGCGTCGAATTTCATTCAAAGTATGCCTTAATTTTATCTTAATCACTCCAAAACGCGTTGGTTCAATCCCAGTGGACACCGTTTGGATTTTCTCAGGCATAAAATCTGTGGCATCCTTCGGGAAGACCGGGGGGAAGGGAAGGGAAGTAAAGTCGTTGGTCATCGGTCTACGAGTTGATGGGTCGATAGGTAGGGTCCAGGTGTGGGAGCTGCCTCCCTGGCACCGGTAGCATTGGTGCTCAGTACGGAAAATAAGATAGACGGAAAACAGATCGAGGTCAGTGCTGTAAATTTTCATATCATTCGATTGAAGATGAACCACTACAACCATTCAATCAATTCTGTGTAAACGAATTCTCACATGACCATAATTTGAAGAGCCCCTTTCTCATTCGAAGCTCATTGTCACTGTCAATTGAGTCACTCAGTATCATTTGATATAAGACAGTGCTGCACAGTTACAGCTTCAACTAAAGGGTAGAACAATCACTCAAAGTATATCTTTCAAGTATTTAGGTGTCTGGTTCGATTCCAAATGCACATGGGGAAAACATATTGCGTATCTAAAACAAAAATGCCAACAAAGAATCAATTTTCTTCGTACAATTACCGGAACTTGGTGGGGAGCACACCCGGAAGATCTTATCAGGTTGTATCGAACAACCATCTTGTCGGTTCTAGAGTACGGTAGCTTCTGCTTTCAATCCGCGGCGAAAACACATATCTTGAAGCTGCAACGAGTTCAATACCGTTGCCTCCGAATCGCGCTTGGCTGTATGCACTCGACGCATACGATGAGCCTCGAAGTACTCGCGGGTGTTCTCCCACTGACAGATCGTTTCGCGGAACTGTCCTTCCGGTTTCTTATCCGTTGTGAAGTAATGAACCCATTGGTAATAGAAAATTTTGAGAAGCTGCTAGACAGAAATCCTCAAACAAGATTCATGAGTTTGTACTATGAGTACATGACGCTGGAGGTTGGTCCTTCTTCATTAATCTCCAATCGTGATTGCTTTCAAGCCTTCTATAGTTCCTCTGTAAATTTTGATCTGACCATGATGCAAGAAATCCATGGAATACCAGATCACCATCGGTCGATGGTTGTTCCCTTAATTTTTGCAATCAAGTACCACCATGTAAGTAACGATAAAAGATTTTTCACAGATGGGTCAACCATAAATGCTTCCACTGGATTTGGTGTATTTAATCAATTTCATAGCGCCTCTTATAAACTGCAGAAACCATGCTCCGTATACGTTGCGGAACTCGCAGCTATATTTTACGCAGTAGAGCGAATTGCCTCACTACCTTCTGACCATTATTTCATTTTTACGGATAGTCTTAGCTCATTGGAGGCTATTCGTTCAATGAGGCCGATGAAGCACTCCTCGTATTTCCTGCCTGAAATACGATCTAAACTGAGTGCTTTATCTAACTGCTCCTATACTATCACCTTAGCCTGGGTCCCATCTCATTGCTCAATTCCGGGTAATGAGAAAGCGGACTCATTGGCTAAGGTGGGCGCTATGGAAGGCGATATTTTTGAGCGACAAATCGCCTTCAACGAATTTTTCTCCATTGCTCGCCAGCAAGTCCTCATCAGTTGGCAACAAAAATGGAATGATGGTGAATTGGGAAGATGGTTACATTCTATTCTCCCACAGGTGTCGAACAAGCCATGGTTCAAAGGGTTGGACATGAGCCGCGACTTTATACGCGTTATATCAAGGCTTATGTCCAATCACTGCTCGTTAGACTCGCATTTCTATCGAATTGGGCTCTCAGGCAGCAATTTATGTGCGTGTGGCAGTGGTTATCACGATATCGAGCACGTTGTTTGGTCATGTACCTTATATCGTGTTGCCAGATCTGAGTTATCCATATCCCTCAGGGCCCGAGGAAAACAACCCGCGATACCCGTTAGAGATGTCTTGGCGAGCCGAGACCTCGACTATTTGAATTTAATTTATGTGTTTTTAAAACGGATAGATTTGAGGATTTAGTAGTTAGTGTCATCTTGTGTTCTCCCAAGTTGTTAGTTGCCCATCGGTGTACCCCCATGTTTGTCTTTTTCATCAGAGTGTCGCCTAGTTCGAGATCAAGAGCACATTGCTCTCCAAACCTTGTGTTCACAATCCCTACCCTGCCATCCATTTGTTACAATTTGTTACCCCTAACCTCGAGATAGCCGCGAGTAATCGGCCCCCGCTTTACTAACGTTAGTTTTAAGTAATTTTGTTATCTAAACAATGAATATCGGCTCCGCAAAGCTACAGCAAATGAGCCTGGAAAAATAAACGAATTATTAAAAAAAAAAAAAAAAATAAGACAGTGGAGTATGGAAGAAATCCAGCAAAATGGTCCCGAACAGACAAGTCGACCCGATGTCGGATCAATGTAAGGCTAATTTAAGGTCGATGTCGACCCAATGTCGTGTTGTTGTCGGGTCAATTTTTAGTTTATGTCGGGTCAATGTCGGGTCAACATCGGGTTGGGGTTTGATAGAAGTCAGGTTGGTGTCGGGTTGGCTTAGCTTTTTCGCCGGAATGTCGACCAGAGCTCCGTTTGTGTGTAGGTTACACTCAATTGAATGATATATAGCGTTTCTCAAATGAGAATGATCCATGCCTTCGTCAAATGACTAAGCAACTGATATCACCCATTCGGAGGAGGTCCCGTTTGATAGCGAATAGCTACTTTTCTCATTTTCATCAAAAATGTTCAAATGATTTTGAGAATTTACAGCACTGATCGAGGTAAACAATATGTGCACTTTTGGTGGAATTTTTATTAGTAAGAAGGTGAACGTAGGTGGAGTAATTCTGGATTTTTTTTTATAAAATCAAACAAATGTATTGAGAAAACAGTAATTCACACATAGAACATATTTACAAAATATTTTGAAACATTTTATAATAGTTTATAAACTAAAATTACATTTTTTAACATTTGATACTGGAAAGCTCGAAAACAAACTAGCAACTCAGATTGACTGTTCGATTAAAACAAGGCCTAGGAGGAGACAACTGGGATATAGATTTGGATTCAGTTTTTTTTATACTGTCGCTATTTGGATGATTTTCAAGATTAAGATTGTTTTTTGCTTTAAATGTGTACACAATTACTGGTCGAACTGTAATGCACGGATAATGTTCAACAGCGACTGCAGGAGCAAATGAAGAAGCTGCGAAGAAGAATAAAAAGAATCTAGGTGTCCTATCTCGTCTTAGGTGATGACAGCTGTCCATGCTTATGTTAAAAGTCATTACCCGAGACGGCATCGGCTGCGCATGCTACCCGAATTTCTCAGCCACACCCACAGAGTATCCGAGGGACTGTTCCAATAGGAAAGGCGAATGTCATATAAAGTTCGTTGCTGTCATTACAGTAAGGAAAACTCTTCATTTAAGACTTGCAAATTTGTTGCTGAAAGTGTGTTGAACTATGTTCGTCGTTTGTTAGCTCTACGAATGCTAATTCAATTAAATTCAAGGTATCTTTTAACTCTACCTACAGAAAGCATTTTGGTTGTTACAATCGTGTTTGGTATATTTCAGAGACGTGTGATTCATTCAGCGACACAAATCTGGTGTCAATCAAGTATTAAAAATGGAGAACACATCGTATGGGATAAATGTGGCCAATCGGTATGATCTTTTTTCAATCGATGATGAGGGAGATGATCCTTTTGAAACTGTAACTCGAAAAATTCAAAAAAATCAGAAGAAAAACCAGACCAACCCTTCCACAAATGCTGATAATGCTGCTTCAAAACCAATTACAAAGAAGGTAAAAAACGCGGAGAAGGAAAACAAGACTACGCAAAACAAGGTTATTAATAACGAAAATCGACATCCAGAAAAACATGATGAATTGAAGAGTTCTGCTGCAATTAATAACGCTAATTTACATAATCAACGTGGTGAAAAGCATGGCATTAAGGAGACCCAAAAAGATAACATTCGCACAACACGTGAAGACGGCAACAAAAATGGCTACCCAGGAAAAAACGCCGAAAGACGACAAATTAATAAGAGCAACTTTTCCGGTACTGAAAATCGTGAGGAAAAAAATAACCGTAAGAATCGTGAAGTAAGTAATGATGAAAATGGCCCTCGAAAATCACAACCTGGAAACAAACGTTTCGATGTTCGCGGTAAACGAGAATTTGATCGTCAGTCTGGATCTAATAAAACTGGCGTTAAAGCTGTCGAAAAACGTGATGGAACAGGATCACACAATTGGGGTAGTGCGAAATTAGATGCAAAGGAGTATAACAATTTCCAGGAAGACTATATGCCACATGATACGGAAGAAGAAAAAGCGCCAGCTTCTGAGCAAACTAAAGAAGAACAAACTGAGCAAACTGAAGCTAAACCTGTTGAAGAAGAGCTTAAGGAAATGACATTAGATGAATGGAAAGCTCAAATCGCTGCTGCAAGGTCAAAACCTCAATACAATTTGAGAAAAGCAGGAGAGGGTGAAAATGCAGCTCAATGGGACAAGATGATAGCACTAGACAAGAAGACTACCGAAGTAAGAGCAGAAGAAGAAAATGAGATTCAGAAAACTGGCAAGCAAAAGCAAGTCCTTGAAATTGAATTTCATTTTAATGATGGAAGACGTGGAGGATTAATGGGACGTCCGAGAGGACGAGGTGGAAAAGGTACACCGAGAAATCCAGGAAGACGTGAAGGAGAAAAAAAAGAAACTAATGAAATACGCGAAATTGAACCAGAGAAAAGAGACCGGCGCACTCGTCCACCACAGCCACAAGCTGATGGAAACTTCAAACCTAAACAAAGTTCGCGTTTCAATAAAAGCTCTGCTCCGAAAGTTGATGATGAGCATGACTTTCCTTCGTTAGGTTAAAAGTTGCCCCCTTAGTTGCAGCATTGTATTGGTGAGGTTTTTTACGATTCATTTCGTAAACACTTGCTTAATTTCTAACCAGTAGGTTTGTTTACTGAAATATTCAAAAAATAAATGAAAATTGTGAGAATAATTCATATTTCGATCTATAATGCTGTAACATGTAACGAAAGAAACCTTCAAAGAAAAAAAAATAAAATACTAAGTACATAAAACTGTGTTCGTTATTATCATCATAGCATCCCAATGAACCTGCACTATTCAATATACCGTAAAACGGGGTAACATTGATATTTTTTTAAAGTATATTCTAAATATTTTTTGCAGCAATGAATATTTTTCAAATTTCATATTTTTAAAACAAGTACTGAGCATCCAAGAGTTAATTCATTAGTAATTTGTTTAACGAGAATTAAAGCATTTGCACTATTTTTTAGTTTTGTTACCGAACATCAGTATTTTGATGTGGGGTTACTTTGATAATGCTCGACGAATGTAGAAAAAAATTCGTGAAACTCAAACATTTTAGTTCTTTAAATATGAAACTTTGAATGAGTATATAATCAGAAAACATCATAGGCAATAAGATTACAACTTGAATTTGTGATGGCTATATCGGAAATTCATTTCATAAGTGATGGTTTGAGTGCTTTTTCAAACAGGCGAAAAATACGAAAATTGGTTTTTAATATGTTTATATAATATGTAACACATAATATATAAAAACTGTATACGATTTCAACGGAAACACCCTAAGCTACAATATGAAACCAATATTTCTTATTTAGAAAAAGCGCAGCGAGTAAATTTAATCTTTAATTTATACTATCAAAGTTACCCGCATTATCAAAGATACCCCGGTACTTAAGAGCGGTGCAAAATGCATAAGAATTTTATTAAGTTAGACAACAGATTTAGCTGTCACTTTGTCGCAACGTATCGATCCGGATGCAAACGAGAAAAGGTGCCATATTACAGGAAAAAATTGATCCGGTCCCGAACGACTCACTATCGACTCATGCTAACTTCCTATTTCTTAGCAAAAAAAAAACATGTGAACATACCTTTTATGGGAACAACATCAACTTTTAGTCAAATTTGAAAAGTTCTATCTAAGTTTTCCAGAATGTTTACGTGTTCAATTTGTTTTTTAAACTTAATTTTCGTTTATACTGTCATGCTGAGGACACGAACCGTCCATAAGAGCAGGATTTGTATATAAGATGGCGAAGACGAACTTTATAAAAATTTAAACTGAAAGTACATTTAATTTACTTTAGAAAACATTTTAAATTTCAAAAATCCCTTGAATCTTCACTGAGGACATGACAATTTGAATTTGGGGTCAAGTTGTCCCCAAGGTACAGCCAACGTATGTTTTATTTTGCACAGACGAAGGGTTAAACATTGTTAGGTAACTCCTTCAGTCAGCTCAACAATTAGGGGAGATGGCTCTAATGTTGGCCTGTCTTATTCTTCTTCCTCGCATTTCAAGCTTATTGCGTATGGCATATTAGCTTATTGCGTGCTCTCAACTTAGTGTTCTAGATGCACTTCCACAGTTATTAATTGAGAGCTTTCGATGCCTGTACCATTTTTGCATTAGTATAATTGTGTGGCAAGTACAATCATATTCTATGCCCAGGGAGGTCGAGAAATTTTCCAACCCGAAAAATTCCTAGACCGGACCGGGAATCGAACCCAGCCATCTCTAGCATGGTCTTGCTTTGTAGCTGTGTCTTTACCGATTGAGCTAAGGGAGGTCCCGTTGGCCTATGGACCTAAGATTGGGCCAATCGCTTAAAATCTGTTATTTATCAATGTTATCTAGGTGAACGGTACTTATGGATATTGGTCGCTATTGAAAATTTAGTCTTTTGCTGAATTTATGTATGGACCCAAATTAGGAGCAGTTAGGCCGACATTACATCCATTTGCCCTAATTCCAGCTCCGTTGAAGTTCGAGGATTTTTAGCTGGTTTTCCGGTACGATGATTTCGAAGAGCTCCCATAGATATACTGCCGCAGCTTCTTCAACCTGTGTTCAAAACAGTACTATCGCTTTTCCTTCCTCACACAGCAGTGGAAATTCCCAACAACTACGAAACACATTCTAGCTTTTCTGATGATGTGGATCTCAGCACCAAAAAAAAAGTATTGCTATTTCATTTCATCAATTATCACTCGCTGCATCAGTTCACTTTTACACAGTTTGAAAGGCACCAGGCCCCCACCGGCTGAATCAATCTTCTATGCCACCCCGGTGTGGGAATCGTGCGCTCAGACCCACAGGAACAAAATCCAGGTTGCACAGAATAGATTGTTGAGGATGATCCTAGATCGTCCATTCGACACAAGAATAGCAGACCTCCATCAAGAGGCAGAAATTCCCAAAGTAGATTCCAAAATTGATGATATGACAACTAAATTTATTCAAAAATGCAATCTTTCTGAACATGCTTTAATAAGCAATTTGTACATAGTAGGTTAAGTGTATATAGTAGAGTAGGTTAGTTTTAAGCTGTAAATAGTAGTATTAAGTAGTTTCTCTTCAAATTCTAAAAACAAAACAAACCAATCCCACCAAGGTGGTCAACCGTGTACTAAGTCTAGGACTAATTCTGTAAAACAAATTTTGAATTTTGCCCATACCTAAAGATGAAGAAAGCAATTGAATCACTTAGTAAAAAATTTATATGGTAATCGTCCAAGTTAAACTAAAGATCCGGCTGAATCAACTCGCAACCAACGCCGAAACTAGAAGCGATAATTCCAGGGAGAAAACAGACGCGTTAAAAATAGCTGCCACGGCACACTTCGATTGCCTTTCTCAAACACAACCTCATCGCACAAACACGAAGAGATATATGAGACTCGATAAGCGCCTTTCGTGCGGGAGGCGGAGCACCAGCACTCAGCAAGCAAAGAGAAGAAGAAAATACACACACAGAGCACGGCACGAGCTAAACTGCTAACGTTTAAAACTAAACAAAAACTTCAAGAAAATTACGGGAGCTTTTGCAAATACCGAGGAAGTCCAAGGCAGTTCAATTAACTGCAGCAAAATTGAGGGATCTGGAGAACTTCATTGAATATAAGAGATTTTTAGAACAATTCCATTAACTTCAGGGAATCACCCAGAAACGTATAGAAAAATCAAGAAGAATTCTTAATTTTTTCCGCTAATCAGTCTACAAGAAAAAGTGCTGATTACAGTTTTATCACCATCTTCATTAGGGTTAGTTTTAGATAAAGATCGTCATCCCCACTTAAAAACCTTTTTTGACAACATGATGGCGCTGGCGTTGCACAACTTACACTAGACACTAAGTGCCGGTAGCGCCGAGTGTCAATTTTCAACAGAAAATCGACACTAGCGCCAAATTGGTCGAAAGTTGAAAGTTTATAGAGGAAATCAGGAGATGCTAGCGCCACGAAACGACGAGGTTCTCACTTATATTTAAACAAGTTTGTGACGTAAGTAGAACATCTGTTCTCTGTGTCTGAACCTAGCAGTCACAGCAAGAAAGTCGTGAATTTTCGAAACCTGAAAAGTTCCTCGATTGGACCGGGAATTGAAACTGTCGCTTCCGACATGATTGCCGCACTTTTGCTCACTAAGCCGGGAGTGTGCAGATCAAAAGCGTCTCTTAAACCTGTCTACTCTGAATTTGGCAACAGAGGTTGCCTGCCGCCAATGAAAATATTTTTACCTGATTTTTTTTAAGGGGATGGGGGGTTACATTTACTTCTGTTTACATCATATTTACGATGCAGCATTGATGGAGCCGCGAAATGAAATGAATATATCTAATGAAAGTTCAACTGGAAAAGTCAAAGATGCACATCAGTCTGATCGTAAAAACGTTTTCTTCTTCAATTCGAATGTTATATTGGAAGGATTTTACACAGGCTTGATGAAAATTATGATTCAACGCTAATTTTCACGAATTTTATATGCAGTCTGTCAACATTATCATCATCATGCAGTGGCGACATCTACGTCGAGCATAAATATTATAAAATATAATTATCATAAAATTGAGTCATAACAGACGCCACATTCAGCTCAATCAAAGGTGTTTTTCGTCGAGTAACGAATTTTTCGGTCTCGGAGCACTTAATTTTACATGAAATGTTTGTTTACGTTTCATCCTTTATGTCAAAGATAGATTCCGTCACATGTAAAATTAGTTATTTATAAGTGTATCGGCAATCAAATGTGCAGGAAGGCAGCTTCCACACCTGCGTAGGATATCGCACCCATTCACAACACACATGGGCCGGGACCAACGTGACCAGAGATTTTTATGCCTTAGAAAAATCCCACCGACCTCGGCTGGGATTGAACCCAGACCCATCGGTCACGCTTACCACTATACCACCGGCGCCGGCTCATAACCAAAACTGAGCGCACAAAACAAAACAAACCGAGTGGAGAAAAAACTGATGGAATAATCGGTCCGTCCGCCATATTAGCTTTCTCAATGTTTGTTGATTTCAGTGATGGAAAAGTTCGCGAAAACTTGATTTAAACTCGTGTATGTAAATTTATAGGTTTTATCGTTGAAAATCTGATGTTCTTCGATAAGTTTTTACATCATGTGGTGATAATACACTGCAAGAGAAAATTAATCGAATACACATGTAATTTTATGAGTTTCATGATGTTTTTATTATGTGCATGATTTTTAATATAAAAGTTCAGTAGAAGTAAAAGTTCATATATATGGGGACTTTAACCAACGCAATGTTGACTTTATTTCTGATATGGACAATGAAAGCATCTTACTTCCAGTCGTTGGGGAAAATGAAACACTCCATTTCATTTTTGACAAAATTGCAAATTTAGGACTCAATCAAATTAACCATGTGAAAAATCAACAAAATTGTTATTTAGACCTTTTATTAACAAATACTTATGAAGATTTCTGTGTGACTGAATCGTTAAGTCCCATATGGAGAAATGAAATGTTTCACACAGCAATAGAATATTCTCTATTCGTTCACATAAATAAAGAACCAACGACTGCGAATTCGATGAAATCTTTGATTACAATTCAGCAAATTATGATAACATTAGAAATAGATTGAACATTGTCGATTAGCAAGCAATATTAAGAACTGCAGGAAATGTAGAATGTGCAGTTGACGTATACTACAATGTGTTGCTTGAAATAATACTTGAAGAAGTGCCAACTAAAAGAAGGAAACG